AAGCATCATCATAAGAAATGAATTTCTATAGAAACACTGGACAGGATCAAAGAAAGGAGGAACAAGAAGACAGCAATTAACAACAGGAGAACACGAGCAGAGGAAGTCCAAGCACAAGCTGAATACATAGAAGCAAACAAGCAAATGAAGAAGAGCACTAGAGCCGACAAGCAGAAATACGTGGATGAACTAGCGACGATGGCGGAAAAAGCTGCAATAGAAGGAAATATGAAACAGCTTTACGATACAACGAAGAAACTATCAGGGAAATACAGTAAACCAGAGAGACCGATGAAGGACAAAGAAGGCAGGCCAATCACTGAAATTCAACAACAGCGAAACAGATGGGTAGAATACTTCGAGGAACTCCCGAATAGGCCGGCTCCAATGAATCCACCGGACATCGAAGCAGCACACACAGATCTTCCCATAGACGTCAACCCACCAACAAAGTAAGAAATCAGAATGGCCCGACAACGTACCAGCTGAAGCACTGAAGTCAGACATCGAAGTAGCTACAAATATGCTTCACCTTCTATTCAAAAAGATTTGGGAGGGGGAACAAGTACCGATGGACTGGAAAGAAGGGCACCTCGTCAAGATTCCAAATAAAGGAGACCTGAGCAAATGTGAAAACTACAGAGGCATTACACTACTGTCAATACCAGGGAAGGTCTTTAACAGAGTGTTGCTGAACCGGATGAAAAATGCAGTAGACGCCCAACTTCGAGATCAACAAGGTGGATTCCGTAAGGATCGATCGTGCACAGACGGAATTGAAACATTACGGATCATCGTCGAACGATCAGTTGAGTGGAACTCGTCACTATACATCAACTTCATTGACTATGAAAAGCATTTGACAGTGTAGATAGGAGGACGTTATGGAAACTTCTTCGACACTACAGAGTTCCTGAGAACATTGTCAATATTATCCGGAACTCATACGACGGACTACAATGCAAAGTCGTGCATGGAGGACAGCTGACAGATGCATTCCAAGTAAGGACCGGAGTCAGACAAGGCTGTCTACTCTCTCCCTTCCTCTTTCTTCTGGTGGCCGACTGGATTACGAAGACCTCGACATCTGAGGGAAAACACGGAATACAAAGGACAGCTCAGAATCAATTAGACGATTCGAACTTCGCAGATGACCTAGCCCTTCTATCGCATACACATGAACAATGCAGATAAAGACAGCCAGTGTAGCAGCAGTCTCCGCATCGGTAGGCCTCAGCAAACACAAGGGGAAAACCAAGGTCCGCAAATACAACACGGAGAACAGCAATCCAATCACTCTTGATGGCGAAGCTCTGAAAGATGTAAATTCTTTCACATAACTGGGAAGCATCATCGATGAACAAGGATGCCGATGTAAAGGCGAGGATTGGCAAAGCAAGGGTAGCATTCCTACAATTGAAGAACATATGGAACTCAAAACAACTTTCAACCAATATCAAAGTGAGATTCACAACCTCATCAATTGATTCACCATCATTCCCTAATAACCTGCGTTTAACCTCACCGTTATCTACCCGGTGATCCCAGCACATGCAAGCAATATTTCTAAAGTATCTGTGGTCAAGTACTAGTAGTTTTCGATTATCTTCTACACTTAATGGCCACGTTTCGCAGCCGTAAATTAAAACAGAACGAACTGCCGCTCAGTATAGAGGGTGAGATGTGCATCTCAAACATTCTGGTATTGTTGCTCAGTGCTACCAAAAGACTCTGAATGTTGTCAGCTGATGACGATTTCTTATTCATAATACTTATGTTTTCCTATCTTCACTTTGACTGTCACTATTAGATAAGAACTTCTATCAACAAAAATACACTGAGAAGTTGGAAGCAAGTAACTTCACATAGTTTGATAACTAATAAAATAACTTAGAACATGGAAAGAGATCCAATAAATACACTTTAATAAGAATGAACAAGTATATTTTGTTGTGATAGAGTTTTGTTCTCTGAACGACATCATCAGCACAAAACTTCAGGTAGAAGTCACCTGGAGAAATCTATCTAGTGGTTGTGCTGATGATGTCATTCCGAAAAACAATGAAAGCTCCACGACTAAACCATCCAGTTCAGAGAACAAAACTCCATATCAAAATTTTATTGTAGAATAGATGAATGAAAATAAGAATTCGATTTGTCTAGTTAAGTATCTATCTGATAGTTTAGTGAGTTGTGAACCGAAATGAACCTGGTAGTTAATCAACTTACTCAATTGATTGGTAATGGATATCCAACAAACTGGTTTTACTATAAATGTGTAATTACCATCATTATTTTACAGTTTGAAAACATACTACTTATGTATAGAAACAGTAAGTAAACGGTAAGTAGAACTTATTGACAAATATCCAAGTTAGACATTAACACCGTTGGATGCGGTCTAGGGGTTATAATCAGAGTACTTGATACAGTAGAAGACTATTAGTTCCAGTATTCTAAATACTAATAATTTTCTAATACTTATCACTTAAAGTTCTTGGAGGTCACTGCTTCTCAACATTTATTTTCTCCTAATTAGTAATTACATATTTAAAAGCGTTAATAAATAC